GCTGAGTGATCATAAGGTCCAGTGAACAGCAATATGTGAGTCTGAGAGCAGTTCGAATTGGTGCTACAGCACAGCGAGCAGAAAGCACGGCTGTTGTTTGCGTGTGCTAGCGGGCCGGGGCTAGCAGATGGATCTTCGTAGTCGTCGCAACGGGAAGCCTGTTGAAACCACAGATGATTACGTCGGCTGACCAGTCGTGATGGATCAGCGGGGCTCCGTGTCGACTCTAGGAGGTCCCGTCCGGTTGACAGAGAGGTAGATAGCCAGGAGATGTGCCTGACTCGAGGCTAGCTCAAGGCTGATTAGCCAACAACAACATCCATTTGGTTACAGCTAGCTAGTTGCGATGATCCGGTGTTAAAGGTCCAGTGATTCAGTGATTCTGGCATAAAATCCGATATGTTCTGGGTCGATAACGCGCTGTGCAGACAGTGCAGACTGGCCGATAATAGTCCAGGCTAGAGCTGGCTGGTAGGTAATGCAGGCCACGGACAATGGTGAAAAACCGCTAACGGTGGCTAATAGCAAGTAGCTGGTTAGCTGGCTACTCCCGTCCGGTAGACAAAGAGGTAGATAGCCGGGATATGGGCCTGGCTCGAGGCTAGCTCAAGTCTAACTGGTGCTTGCTTTGGGGGCAGTGGTGATTAGCCTACAGCAACATCCATTCGGTTGCGGCTAGCTAGTTGCGATCCGGTGTTAAGGTCCAGTGATTCAGTTATTCCGGCAGAAAATCTGATGTTCTGGGTGAAAACCGCTAACGGTGGCTAATAGCAAGTTAGCTGGCTAGCTAGTTTCAACTGGAGATTCTAGATAAAGTAAATAATAGAATCTGTTCCACATTGAGTGAGGCGGGTTGCAGGAAAGTATATTTAGTAGAAGGATGAAAAGTGTGATAGGGAAATATATACGTAAAATATAAAAAAATACAAAAAACTGGCTATTTACAACAGAGAACACGACCACACTGCTACGCCATCTTGGTATATTTTAATTGAAAACAATCACAATAAGGTACTTAATTGTTCCTCAGAAATGATTTGATGTTGAGACAAAACACGCTTTATTGGAACGTTAACAGAACAAATAAATATTTTCCACAGACTTGTAAACTTTGACTGGGATTCAAACTGATTGAGCGTTTGCAGAACGTTTGCAGAACATTAAAAGCTGCATTGTCGACAGATTGAATCCCGGCCTTAGCGATTGCTAAATTAATCACACACTTCAACAACTGCAATGAATTCCTGCGTCTTAATGACATTTATTTCAGAGATAAACAAACAAACACCAAATAGAAATTAACAGTTCTCTTCAACGGGATATAATGAACCAAGTCAGAAGGCTTTTCAGTCAACAGTTACGGGGAAAATAAATGAACACAACAGTTAGTTCACCATGGACAGACAAGTCTGAAAAGAGACCATTATGAAGCTACAATACGCCACTACTTGTAATACAAAGCTGTTTTAGCGTTTTGGCACAGGTTGAGTGTGTTCCCCTTTCATTTGGGTCATGTCCCCGAAGTTTTATGGAAACACAGACAAATCTATGAGTTATTATTGATTGTAAAACAGATATGAACGTGATGCAGTATTCTCCATCTAAAGTAGATGATCCAAACATGGACCTTTGTTTTGTATGCAGGACACTGACCCCAGTTCAGATATAATGTTCACCGAGTGGTGTAATATGCAACGATATGATAAGCTATGATATAGTCACTATAATGAAAGTCCATTGTCGGGATGAATCTGATGAATCTGAGCCAAAAGATACAGTGAGGGAAAAAAAGTATTTGATCCCCTGCTGATTTTGTACGTTTGCCCACTGACAAAGACATGATCAGTCTTTAATTTTAATGGTAGGTTCATTTGAACAGTGAGAGACAGAATAACAACAACGAAAAATCCTGAAAAACGCATGTCAAAAAAAATGCATTTTAATGAGGGAAATAAGTATTTGACCCCTCTGCAAACTGACTTAGTACTTGGTGGCAAAACCCTTCTTGGCAATCACAGAGGTCAGACGTTTCTTGTAGTTGGCCACCAGGTTTGCACACATCTCAGGAGGGATTTTGTTCCACTCCTCTTTGCAGATCTTCTCCAAGTCATTAAGGTTTCGAGGCTGACGTTTGGCAACTCGAACCTTCAGCTCCCTCCACAGATTTTCTATGGGGTTAAGGTCTGGAGACTGGCTAGGCCACTCCAGGACCTTAATGTGCTTCTTCTTGAGCCACTCCTTTGTTGCCTTGGCCGTGTGTTTTGGGTCATTGTCATGCTGGAATACCCATCCACGACCCATTTTCAATGCCCTGGCTGAGGGAAGGAGGTTCTCACCCAAGATTTGACGGTACATGGCCCCGTCCATCGTCCCTTTGATGCGGTGAAGTTGTCCTGTCCCCTTAGCAGAAAAACACCCCCAAAGCATAATGTTTCCACCTCCATGTTTGACGGTGGGGATGGTGTTCTTGGGGTCATAGGCAGCATTCCTCCTCCTCCAAACACGGCGAGTTGAGTTGATGCCAAAGAGCTCGATTTTGGTCTCATCTGACCACAACACTTTCACCCAGTTCTCATCTGAATCATTCAGATGTTCATTGGCAAACTTAAGACGGGCCTGTATATGTGCTTTCTTGAGCAGGGGGACCTTGTGGGCACTGCAGGATTTCAGTCCTTCACGGCGTAGTGTGTTACCAATTGTTTTCTTGGTGACTATGGTCCCAGCTGCCTTGAGATCATTGACAAGATCCTCCCGTGTAGATCTGGGCTGATTCCTCAACGTTCTCATGATCATTGCAACTCCACGAGGTGAGATCTTGCATTGAGCCCCAGGGCCAAGGGAGATTGACAGTTCTTTTGTGTTTCTTCCATTTGCGAATAATCGCACCAACTGTTGTCACCTTCTCACCAAGCTGCTTAGCGATGGTCTTGTAGCCCATTCCAGCCTTGTGTAGGTCTACAATCTTGGCCCTGACATCCTTGGAGAGCTCTTTGGTCTTGACCATGGTGGAGAGTTTGGAATCTGATTGATTGATTGCTTCTGTGGACAGGTGTCTTTTATACAGGTAACAAGCTGAGATTAGGAGCACTCCCTTTAAGAGCGTTCTCGTAATCTCAGCTCGTTACCTGTATAAAAGACACCTGGGAGCCAGAAATCTTTCTGATTGAGAGGGGGTTAAATACTTATTTCCCTCATTGAAATGCAAATCAATTTATAACATTTTTGTCATGCGCTTTTCTGGATTTTTTGTTGTTGTTATTCTGTCTCTCACTGTTTAAATAAACCTACCATTAAAATTATAGAATGATCATTTCTTTTGTCAGTGGGCAAACGTACAAAATCAGCAGGGGATCAAATACTTTTTCCCTCACTGTAAGTTCCCGCAGCAGCTCAACAGTGAACTGTCTTAATGCTGCCCAGGTATAAAACTAGCCTGAAATCCAGAACCTGTTTGGTGCCAACATTCCACTCCTTGTACTCCTTGTCATTGCCAAAAATGTTGTTTGGTATGGCAAGGAGGGTAATATTAGCACAAACAGACTGGAATTCTCCAAGCTAGCATAAAACCATAAAGGCTTAAGAAATATTTCCAGAAATACATGGGTCGGATAACACAAGGATCAGGAGATATACTGTAGGTCGGATAACACAAGGACCAGGAGATATTGGTCGGATAACACAAGGACCAGGAGATATGGGTCAGATAATATAAGGACCAGGAGATATGGGTCTGATAACACAAGGACCAGGAGATATGGGTCGGATAACACAAGGACCAGGAGATATGGGTTGGATAACACAAGGACCAGGAGTGAGAATATAGTGGATTTTTTATACTGCAGAAAACAATTGCCTTAAAATAATATGTAGCCTATTCACTTGCAAATAAATAAATTCAGAAATGATATCACAGTGACAAGTAACATTTACACAGTAAAAATTTACAAATAATTTTGACAGACAGGAATAGATTCATTCACTCATACTGCGTTGCCCAGATCTCTTCCATGTCTCTCACACAGTTCTTTCTATCAACCCATATCTGCCAGATTTTCCTTTAAAAAAAAGTATATATATTCCCTACTCTGTCCTGGCAATGGGTTTGATAACAAGAGATATAAAGAGATATGAAGTGATATGAAGTGATATGAAGAGATATGAAGAGATATGAAGTGATATGAAGAGATATGAAGAGACATGAAGTGATATGAAGAGATATGAAGAGATATGAAGTGATATGAAGAGATATGAAGTGATATGAAGAGACATGAAGAGATATGAAGTGATATGAAGAGATATGAAGTGATATGAAGAGATATGAAGAGATATGAAGAGATATGAAGTGATATGAAGAGATATGAAGTGATATGAAGAGACATGAAGAGATATGAAGTGATATGAAGAGATATGAAGTGATATGAAGAGATATGAAGTGATATGAAGAAATATGAAGTGAATGATTGGGTATCTTCCAATATCCACATTCACATACTATTTAGTATGAAGCAATGTTTTGGGGCATTCTGGTACTCTAGTGTGGCACAGCTCTAGTCTTGTTTCCTCAAGACTGGGGACTGTCCTCCTCCCTCCTCTTCCCTGCTCCTCCTCTTCCCTGCTCCTCCTCCCTCCTCTTCCCTGCTCCTTCTCCCTCCTCTTCCATGGTCCTCCTCCCTTCTCTTCCCTGGTCCTCCTCCCTTCTCTTCTCTGGTCCTCCTCCCTCCAATTCCCTGGTCCTCCTCCCTCCTCTTCCCTGCTCCTCCCTCCTCTTCCCTGCTCCTCCCTCCTCTTCCCTGCTCCTCCTCCCTTCTCTTCCCTGGTCCTCCTCCCTTCTCTTCCCTGGTCCTCCTCCCTCCAATTCCCTGGTCCTCCTCCCTTCTCTTCCCTGCTCCTCCCTCCTCTTCCCTGCTCCTCCTCCCTCCTCTTCCCTGGTCCTCCTCCCTCCTCTTCCCTGGTCCTCCTCCCTCCTCTCTCCCCTACACAGGCCCCATACACAGCATGGCCTACACCTCCTCTGTGTGGATCTCCTCTGTGTGGATGGCCTCCAGCTCCTCTGTGTGTATCTCCTCTGTGTAGATGGCCTCCAGCTCCTCTGTGTGGATGGCCTCCAGCTCCTCTGTGTGGATCTCCTCTGTGTGGATGGCCTCCAGCTCCTCTGTGTGGATGGTCTCCAGCTCCTCTGTGTGGATGGTCTCCAGCTCCTCTGTGTGGATGGCCTCCAGCTCCTCTGTGTGGATGGCCTGGGTGATGAGGTTAAGCTCTTCACACATGGTCTCATAGCGGTACTCCACACGGATGTCAGGGACGTTGGTGCGTCGGATGTCGTTTCCCTCCTGCCCCTCCTTGATGTAGTGAGGGCCCAGCCAGTAACTCTTCACCTGGAGAGAGAAAGGGAAGGGTAATTAACATGGGAAATGGATGGAAATAGGGCGGCAGGTAGCTTAGTGGTTAAGAGCGTTGTGCCAGTAACCGAAAGGTCGCTGGTTCTAATCCCCGAGCCGACAAATCTGTCGATGTGCCCTTGAGCAAGGCACTTAACCCTAATTGCTCCTGTAAGTCGCTCTGGATAAGAGCATCTGCTAAATGACTAAAATGTAAATGAGGAGTAGAAATACTTAGGAACAGGCCTAGGTAGATAAAGAGTCAATTTAGTCATGTAGATCAGAGGTTCAAACTTTTTCACTCAGACCCCCCCTTCCAGCATTGAGGAACATCCTGCGCCCCCCTACTCATTCCAGAGTTTTTCTTTACTTTTACTATTTTCTACATTGTAGAATAATAGTGAAGACATCAAAACTATGAAATATCACGTATGGAATCATGTAGTAACCAAAAAAGTGTTAAACAAATCAAAATATATTTTAGATTTGAGATTCTTCAAAGTAGCCACCATTTGCCTTGATGATGACAGTTTTGCACACTCATTTTTTTTTGGGGGGGGGGGTGGGGGGGGGGGGGGGATCAGCTTAATATTGCAGATAGATTGTATCTTCTATCAATGTAATTGTCTGCATCACTTCCAATCCCCCATGTTTTTTATATATATACTCCCCTTTATTACTTTTCAACCCCGCCATCCTTTCCCTACTTGGAGTAAATTAGTGAACAACAATGCCCAGGCCTCTACTTCCGGTCTATACTTACTATCTACATCTTATGGACACAGTTCATTTTACAATAATTCTATTATATATATATATATTTTTTTTTGCTCCTGAACTTCTTCTACTCTCAACCTCTCCGATCATTTTCATGATGTCCATCCGGTTTGCTTCTATATGCCATATCTTTCTAACTGTGCTCTTTCCCAAAAGCTCCCAACATACAACCTATATACTTATTATGGACACAGTATGCTTACATTATTAGCTATCTTTGTTATTATTTGTTGTTATTTGTTATTAGTCCCATCCTTCAACTCTATTCAATACCTCCCATCTATCTCTTAACACCATCCATATAGGATTTCTATTTGCCATATATATTTCAACCGTACTGTGATGTTTTACAAAAGTTCTGAACCTTTCTATTCTCATTGCTTCTACAGATTGTGAATTAAAAATAAACATTTTTACTAAAAGTATTATTATATTATTGATCGATTGACTATGACTTTTCAGATCACCCAGTAATGCTATCTGCAGGGTTAGCTCCAGGTAAATATTGCAATCCTTTAGCCATTCCTGGACCTGTGTCCAAAAACAAGCTACAAATGGACAGAACCAAAACAAATGATCTAATGATTCTGTCTCTTCACAGCTAAATCTGCAGAGCTGGGAAGATTGTATCCCCCATATAAATAACATTATATTGGTAGCAAGAATTGTATATAATAATTTAAATTGAAAGATTCTAATTTTTGAATCCGGTGTCGTTTTGCGTGTCAGTTCATAAACACTATGCCATGGGATCGGTACGTCAAAAATCTCTTCCCAACTATTTTGCAATCTATATAAGACGGCTGTCAATCCTTTGGTCCTTAAGTGAAACTGATATACTTTCTTAGTTATCAGAGTTTTCCTTAACCAATTATGTTCTTTAATGCAAGGCCGACAGACAAGTTCCTTACTTTCTCCTCCTTCCACTTTTCTCTTCCACTTTTGCGGTAAGGCTGCAATTATTTGGTTGTAATTTTGGGTAGAGCAGACATTTCCATATGTTTTTGTAAGCTGCATGTGCGACATAACTCCACCAGTCCTACCAATGATATCATTTACGAAGATTATACCTTTTTTAAACATTCTGTCAAAAAATAAAGGTTTTTTGTCAATTAGTATATTTGAATTTAACCACAATATTTGTTGCATTATTTGTTCTGTCGTTTCTGGAGGATTAAATTGAAATTGCAACCAACTTTCTTTATGGCTTGTTTTAGAAATGGTGATATTTGGGAGATGATTTCCTTTTCAAATAACTGCAAATGAGTTGTTGTAATCTGAATAAAGGGAAAAAGGCCTTTCTTGAACATTGGGTGAGACAATCTTACTAATTTGCTTGAGAACCAGTTCGGATTTAAGTATAACTTTTGTATGACTGAAGCTTTTAGTGATAGGTCTAATGCTTTAATATTTAATAATTTCTGTCCTCCGAATTCATATTCATTATATAAATATGCCCTTTTAATTTTGTCTGGCTTGCCGTTCCAAATAAAATTGAATATTTTTTTCTCATATAATTTTAAAAAAACTGTTCGCTAGGCGTAGGCAAGACCATAAGCAAATAGGTAAACTGGGATAATACTAAAGAGTTAATCAGGGTGGTTTTTCCACAAATTGACAGGTATTTTCCTTTCCATGGTAGTAAGATCTTATCTATTTTTGCTAACTTTCTATTAAAATGTATTGAAGTGAGATCATTTATTTCCTTTGGGATATTTTTATTTTTTAGTGATCCAATACTAATATAGTACATTTGTCATAATTTGGTTGTAATCCAGAGAGGTTAGAAAATGTATCTAGATCCTCTATGAGGCTGTGGAGGGATTCTAGTTGTGGATTTAAAAGAAAACATGAATCATCAGCGTACAATGACACCTTTGTTTTTAAGCCCTGGATTTCTAATTCTCTGATATTATTATTGGATCTGATTTTAATAGCTACCATCTCGATGGCCACAATAAATAGATATGCCGATAGTGGACAACCTTGTTTCACTCCTCTTGACAGTTAAAAACTTTCTGAGAAATAGCCATTATTTACTATTTTACACCCAGGGTTACTATACATGATTTTGACCCATTTTATAAGAGATTCTCCAAAATTGAAATGCTCCAGGCATTTATATATAAACCCCAGCCGAACTTTATCAAATGCCTTTTCGAAGTCTGCTATGAATAGCAGGCCTGGTTTCCCATATTTTCCATAGTGTTCTATTGTTTCCAATACTTGCCTTATATTATCTCTAATGTCTCTTCCATGTAAAAAACCTGTCTGATTAGAATGAATAATATCCGACAATACCTTTTTAATTCTATGCGCTATACATTTTGTGTAAGGGGCCTCCAATTTTGTAAATGGACTGGATCTTTATATTTTCCACTTGTATCCTGTTTCAGTAATAATGAGATCAGACCTTCTTCTTGAGTGTCAGATAATCTACCATTTACATAGGAGTGGTTAAAACATGCTAATAACGGTCCTCTTAGTATATCAAAAAAGGTTTGGTATACCTCGACTGGTATGCCATCCAACCCTGGAGTTTTCCCAGACTTAAAGTCTTTAATTGCATCCAGAAGTTCCTCCTCTGTAATTTCACCTTCACATGAGTCTTTCTGTGTGGCTGTTAATTTGACATTATCAATAGAAAAAAATCTCTACAATTAGCTTCAGTTAGAGGAGATGGAGGCGACTGAAAAGAAAACATATGCTTAAAGTACTTTGTTTCTTCCTTCAAAATATCATTTGGTGAATTATGGGTGACTCCGTCAATTGTAACCAGTTTCATTAAGTTATTTTTGGTAGCATTCCTATGTTGAAGATTAAAAAAGAATTTTGTGCATTTTTCCCCATATTCCATCCAGTTTGCTTTATTTTTATAATATATTACACTTGATCTTTCTTGAATAAGTTTCTCCATTTCTTTTTGTTTTTCCTCTAATTTATTCTGAGCCTCTATGTTACAGTTTTTATTGCCATCTATCTGTTCTGTTAGACTTTCTATTTCCTTTCTTAGTATAAACTCTTTTGACCTAAATTGCTTTTGTTTTCGAGATGAGTACTGAATTGCATGACCTCTAAAGGCACATTTAAAGGTGTCCCATACAATAAGGGGATTCGCTGTACCTATGTTATGTTGGAAAAAGTCAGTTATAAATTAATTATAAATAAATTATCATCCAATAGGCTTTGATTAAATTTCCAATATCCTCGCCCACGTGGAAATTCAGTAAGAGTAATGTATATGCCTATTATATGATGGTCCGACCGCATTCTGTCCCCTATCAACACAGCTTTGCACACTCTTAGCATTCTCTCAACCAGCTTCATGAGATAGTCACCTGGAATGCATTTCAATTAACAGGTGTGGCTTATTAAAAGTTAATTTGTGTGATTTCTTTCCTTTTTAATATGTTTGAGCCAATCAGTTGTGTTGTGACAAGGTAGGGGTGGTATACAGAAGATAGCCCTATTTGTTAAAAGACCAAGTCCATATTATGGCAAGAACAGCTCAAATAAGCAAGAAGGTCAGTCAATCGGAACATTTCAAGAACTTTGAAAGTTTCTTAAAGTGCAGTCGCAAAAACCATTAAGTGCTATGATGAAACTGGCTCTCATGAGGACTGCCACAGGAAAGGAAGACCCAGAGTTACCTCTGCTGCAGAGGATAAGTTCATTAGAGTTACCAGCCTCAGAAATTGCAGCCCAAATAAATGCTTCGCAGAGTTCAAGTAACAGACACATCTCAACATCAACTGTTCAGAGGAGAATGCGTGAATCAGGCCTTCATGGCCGAATTGCTGCAAAGAAACCACTTCTAAAGGACACCAATAATAAGAAGAGACTTGCTTGGGCCAAGAAACACAAGCAATGGACATTAGACCGGTGGAAATCGGACCTTTGGTCTGATGAGTCCAAATTTGAGATTTTTGGTTCCAACCGCCGTGTCTTTGTGAGACGCAGAGTAGGTGAACAGATGATCTCCACATGTGTGGTTCCCACCGTGAAGCATGGAGGAGGAGGTGTGATGGTGTGGGGGTGCTTTGCTGGTGACACTGTCAGTGATTTATTTAGAATTCAAGGCACACTTAACCAGCATGGCTACCACAGCATTCTGCAGCGATACGCCATCCCATCTGGTTTGCGCTTAGTGGGACTATCATTTGTTTTTCAACAGGACAATGACCCAAGGCTGTGTAAGAGCTATTTCACCAAGAAGGAGAGTGATGGAGTGCTGCATCAGATGACCTGGCCTCCACAATCACCCGGCCTCAACCTAATTGAGATTGTTTGGGATGAGTTGGACCGCAGAGTGAAGGAAAAGCAGCCAACAAGTGCTCAGCATATGTGGGAACTCCTTCAAGACTGTAGGAAAAGCATTCCTCATGAAGCTGGCTGAGAGAATGCTGAGAGTGTGCAAAGCTGTCATCAAGGCAAAGGGTGGCTACTTTGAAGAATCTAAAATCTAAAATATATTTTGATTTGTTTAACACTTTTTTGATTACTACATGATTCCATACGTGATATTTCATAGTTTTGATGTCTTCACTATTATTCTACAATTTAGAAAATAGAAAAGTAAAGAAAAACCCTTGAACGAGTAGGTGTGTCCAAACTTTTGACTGGTACTGTATATATATGCTGAATAAAAACATAAACGCAACATGTAAAATGTTAGTCCCATGTTTCATGAGCTGAAATAAAAGACCCCAGAAATGTTCCATATGCACAAAAAGCTTATTTCTCAAACTATTTGTGCACAAATTTGTTTACATCCCTGTTAGTGAGCATTTCTCCTTTGCCAAGATAATCCATCCACCTGACAGGTGTGGCATATCAAGAAGCTGATTAAACAGCATGATCATTACACAGATGCACCTTGTGCTGGGGACAATAAAAGGGCACTCTAAAATGTGCAGTTTTTTCCCACAACAAAATGCCACAGATGTCTCAAGTTTTGAGGGAGTATCCAATTGGCATTCTGACTGCAGGAATGTCCACCAGAGCTGTTGCCAGAGAATTTAATGATCATTTCTCTACCATAAGCCGCCACCAACGTCGTTTTAGAGAATTTGGCAGTACGTCCAACAGGCCTCACAACCGCAGACAATGTGTATGTCGTGTTTTCTGATGTCAACGTTGTGAACAGCGCCCCATGGTGGCGATAGGGTTATGGTATGGGCAGGCATAAGCTACGGACAAAGAACACAATCACATTTTATCAATGGCAATTTGAATGCACAGAAATACTGTGACAAGATCCTGAGGTCCATTGTCATGACATTCATCCGCCGCCATCACCTCATGTTTCAGCATGATAATGTCACAAGGATCTGTACACAATTCCTGAAAGCTGAAAATGTCCCAGTTGTTCCATGGCCTGCATGTCACCCATTGAGCACATTTGGGATGCTCGGGTACGACGTGTACGACAGCGCGTTCCAGTTCCCGCCAATGCCAATATCCAGCAACTTCGCACAGCCATTGAAGAGGAGTGGGACAACATTACACAGGCCACAATCAACAGTCTGATCAACTCTATGCGAAGGAGATGTGTTGCGCTGCATGAGGAAAATGGTGGTCACACCAGATACTGGCTGGTTTTCTGATCCCCGACCCCGCGCCCCCTACCGCCGACCCCTATGTGGTGCGCGCCCCACAGTTTGAGAACCACTGATGTAGATCATGTCATTAATAGATAATTAAGTGATAATGCACGAGAAGCAGGTGTTTAAAAATGTTATATTGATGAATTTATTCATACTATTTCATCCTTCCACGAGATATAGTCCTGACACAAATCTAGGGTTGCTACCCAAGCCGGCTTGTCGTTCGGTTGCCAGAAACGCGACCCAGTTGTTAAGTATTTTTGTTCTGAATCTATGACCCAGTCGTTCGTTCTAAATGTTCTATTGCCATACTGGCTGGCAACGTTCTTATCGCTTGCTTGCTAGCTAGCCAACTACGGCTAACTTACAGTCACGTCAAACAGTGCAGCCAGAATAACAACAAAGTAGCTGCATTTGCATTTGTTTAAGCTGTTTTCTAGTGACATGTATTTTGATACATCCATAACAATGTAGGTTATGTAGTAATGTAGAGAGAAGATATTGCTCTAAACAGCAGTGGTAAGGTTACCTTATGGGAGAAGCCGCTCATCAGAACACTGTTCCTGGCCAGCTCACACATATCACAGGAGCTGAGCTTCCACACCTGAGCAGCGATGCTGTACTCCTCCATCAGGGGCTCCTGGAAAGGGACAGTATCGATACAAGACAATCATTTACAGACTTAGGGCTGGATTCAGTCCGTATCGCGGAAGATCCCTATTTTAGCTCGATTGAAAATTAAAGGCAATGTTCCCGCATTCGCGGAAAATGCATTCACAGTAAACACTTTTTAAATGTTGACACGGATCGCCTGCGATACTTCCACGATACTGTTATAGTATGTTACCCCTATCTGCAATATCCTCCACATACTCATAGTTATAGTAAGTAACAGAACACAACCCTATTCTTCAGAACAACTTACAGTATACAGTGTGTATAGAAAGCCACCAACCCCTTTCAAAATGTTCACGCTTTGTTGCCTTACCGCCTGAAATGAAAACACATAAAATCCGGCTTTATTTACACACAGTAACCCACAATATCCAAGTGTCATTATTTTTTTTTTTAAACCTCTGAAAATTAATTTCAATCAAAACAGTAAAATACCCTATTTGGGTAAGTGAAAACCCCCCCCTTAGAATTGCAATTGCAAACTTGCTGAGGTATAACCAACCATTTTCCAGATCAAAACTCAAGCTAATTCCATCTGTGATCAATTGTAGTGACTTTGATTAGTTCAGAATAAAAGCTGTTGTTCATAGAGGACTCCACTGCTTAGTAGTGCAATTCCAAAGCAAATAATCCACCATGGGCTGAAAGGTACTTTCAAAAGCACTACGAGATAAAGTTGTGGAAAGGCACAAGTCAGGGGATGGATATAAACATATTTAAAAGGCTTTGTCTATCCCTCGGAGCACAGTTAAGACCATTATTAAGAAGTGGAAGGCGTATGGCACTGTTTTAATTTTAATTAATTTTCAGAGTTTTTTTTTGATTATTTATTTTCACTTGGATATTGTGGGTTATTGTGGGTTACTGTGTGTAAATAAAGTCTGATTTTATGTGTTTTCATTTCAGGCTGTAAGGCAACAAAAGGTGAACACTTTGAGAGGTGGGTGGTGACTTTCTATACCCACTGTATCTATACATCTACGATTTTGAATTTTGTGGGGCACAGCAAGGGTTTTTATCCATTCATTGTGTTGTGTTAAGTAGTCATTACGGTCATCTACACTATCTACCAACTGACTGTATTTTGTGTGTAGAGCATATGAAGAGTTTTATTCCAAAACGCTATATATACACATTTTCAGAAATGTTGGTAAATTAGCATTTATTGTTTAAATATATATATATATATATATATATATATATATATATATATATATATATATATATATATTTTAATGAAAGAGATTGATGTGTTTTTTTCACTATCTAATGATGGCATGGGGTTGTTCAATGACATACATGTATTTGTTTAAAATCTATCACTTGATGGTTTCATTTGAGAGAGACAAATACAGTAATCATGTTTTTTTTTGCAAAGATTCCATTCTAGCTAAACAATGGATATGGCTAGCGTTTTGCAAAAAAAAAGCACATTTTAATACCCATCTAAAATCTATGAATTACAAATCAGAGAACAGTAATATTTGACAAACATGTGAAGGTACCCATTCATTTCTGATGATAAAAACACAAATGTGAAATATTTGTATATACAGTGGGGAGAACAAGTATTTGATACACTGCTGATTTTGCAGGTTTTCCTACTTACAAAGCATGTAGAGGTCTGTAATGTTTTATCATAGGTACACTTCAACCGTGAGAGACGGAATCTAAAACAAAAATCCAGAAAATCATATTGTATGATTTTTAAGTAATTAATTTGCATTTTATTGCATGACATAAGTATTTGATCACCTACCAACCAGTAAGAATTCCGGCTCTCACAGACCTGTTAGTTTTTCTTTAAGAAGCCCTCCTGTTCTCCACTCATTACCTGTATTAACTGCACCTGTTTGAACTCGTTACCTGTATAAAAGACACCTGTCCACACACTCAATCAAACAGACTCCAACCTCTCCACAATGGCCAAGACCAGAGAGCTGTGTAAGGACATCAGGGATAAAATTGTAGACCTGCACAAGGCTGGGATGGGCTACAGGACAATAGGCAAGCAGCTTGGTGAGAAGGCAACAACTGTTGGCGCAATTATTAGAAAATGGAAGAAGTTCAAGATGACGGTCAATCACCCTCGGTCTGGGGCTCCATGCAAGATCTCACCTCGTGGGGCATCAATGATCACGAGGAAGGTGAGGGATCAGCCCAGAACTACACGGCAGGACCTGGTCAATGACCTGCAGAGAGCTGGGACCACAGTCTCAAAGAAAACCATTAGTAACACACTACGCCGTCATGGATTAAAATCCTGCAGCACACGCAAGGTCCCCCTGCTCAAGCAAGCGCATGTCCAGGCTCGTCTGAAGTTTGCCAATGACCATCTGGATGATCCAGAGGAGGAATGGGAGAAGGTCATGTGGTCTGATGAGACAAAAATATAGCTTTTTGGTCTAAACTCCACTCGCCATGTTTGGAGGAAGAAGAAGGATGAGTACAACCCCAAGAACACCATCCCAACCGTGAAGCATGGAGGTGGAAACATCATTATTTGGGGATGCTTTTCTGCAAAGGGGACAGGACGACTGCACCGTATTGAGGGGAGGATGGATGGGGCCATGTATCGCGAGATCTTGGCCAACAACCTCCTTCCCTCAGTAAGAGCATTGAAGATGGGTCGTGGCTGGGTCTTCCAGCATGACAACGACCCGAAACACACAGCCAGGGCAACTAAGGAGTGGCTCCGTAAGAAGCATCTCAAGGTCCTGGAGGGCATAGCCAGTCTCCAGACCTGAACCCAATAGAATATCTTTGGAGGGAGCTGAAAGTCCGTATTGCCCAGCGACAGCCCCGAAACCTGAAGGATCTGGAGAAGGTCTGTATGGAGGAGTGGGCCAAAATCCCTGCTGCAGTGTGTGCAAACCTGGTCAAGACCTACAGGAAACGTATGATCTCTGTAATTGCAAACAAAGGTTTCTGTGCCAAATATTAAGTTCTGCTTTTCTGATGTATCAAATACTTATGTCATGCAATAAAATGCAAATTAATTACTTAAAAATCATACAATGTGATTTTCTGGATTCTTGTTTTAGATTCCGTCTCTCACAGTTGAAGTGTACCTATGATAAAAAATTACAGACCTCTACATGCTTTGTAAGTAGGAAAACCTGCAAAATCGGCAGTGTATCAAATACTTGTTCTCCCCACTGTATAGCGTTTTGGAAAACAACTCTTCATATAAAGCCTACAGACACTGGCACAGCAAAGCTTTTATCCATTCAAATGGCATCGTATATATAGTGCACTAACTTTCCTGTACAGTACAATTCACTACTTTTGACCAATTTGCCATTCATGACACAGGCATAGTGTTGTGTGGAAGCACTCTGTCAACGATATTACAGTTGAGTCACATTAACAACCTTAGTGAAGTGGAACTGCAGAGGGTCGTCAGTGGACAACGAGACCATGAGTCCCCTGGACAGATACTCAGGCAGGGGGTTCCGGTGGTAGCTGAGGAACAAACTGTTGTTGCTGAGAGGAGACATGGCGATGCCGATCTGAGCCAGGTAGTAGAGGTACTGCAGGACGGGGGCCTGGAGGAGAGAAGAGACGGGAGGAGATGATTTTGTGTTATATGTTCTGTTGTGGTCCGTGGTCCCTTGTGACTGAAAACACACAAAAAACAACAATTGGGCTCAGATGGTTCACAAGGTCATAGTAGGGCCCTCAAACTCAACTCTGGCCCACGAAGCCAGTTCCACTGCATTTTTTCATTGTTCAAATTAGGGACTCATTTAGACCTGGGACACCAGGCGGGTGCAATTAATTATCAGGTAGAACAGAAAACCAGCAAGCTCCGGACCTCGTAGGGTAAGAGTTGAATACCCCTGGACTAGAGTAGATGACTGAGGCCTTGTCCTCGTTGTGTGAAATAGTCAGTACCTTTCTAAGCAGGAATTCATGGGAGATGTTCAGTTGTGCTTATCCAGAGTAAGTGCTTGAGTGAGTGCGTGAGTGAGCGAGCGACAGAGAGAGAGAGAGAGAACCATACTGTACCTTCCTCAGCAGCAGTCCATGTGAGTTGTTCCAGTGTCTATTGTTTAGAGAGTAGGTGGTAGGGGAATTGGGGTTGAAGACAAGCGTACAGTACCTTCCTCAGCAGCAGTCCATGTTCTCTATATTAGTGTGTGACGGAGAGACTGGTATGAGTGAGTGTGAAGACCAGTGTGACCAGCTGCTGGTGTGACTGTGAGAGGGCTGTCCAACCAGTGCCTACCTTCCTGAGCAGCAGTCCATGGGAGATGTTCTCTGACACGATGAAACCTAGGGGGTAGGAGTTACGGGGTAAGAGTTAGGGGCTAGGAGTTAGGGGGTTCAGTACCTTCCTGAGCAGCAGTCCGTGGGAGATGTTTTCTGACAGCATGAAACCTGACACCAGGTGATGGATAGGCCCCGCCTCCCCACAGTGAGGACGCAACACCAGGGTGTTGAAACCTCTCTGCCTAGAACACACAGAGAGATATCATTGATTGATCGATCGAAAGATTGATTGGTTGTACACACAGTCATAGAGGTACGGTGGGGATGAGATTCAACCATATATATATACTGTAACACAACAACACAGACAGAGAAAGAGATAGGGTCTGTATAAATCCCCCTAAAGTCGATGTCCGTGGCCAAACGGAAATCGAATTAGAATAGTTTTTTAAATTCCCCACCGAAATCCGTCTATTTAAGCTAGAGATAACCGTTTTTTTTTTACATGGGCTGCGCCTCAATCCACCGCATCCGCCGGTCGCCCTTCTGCATCTGCCAGGAGACAATCAGTCTCCTCACAGTTTGGGCTACAAACCAATATCGAAAGCTGAGACTCTCACGAACAATGTGTTTTGCTCTCACGACGCCTCACAAGACTCGTCTGAAGGTAACCCGAAACCGGTGTGAAAAATTTATGGAAGTGAATAGGGCATTTCCACGTCAAAGGTATACGTGTCATTCCACGTCAAAGGTATACGTGTCATTCCACTGTATAATAATAATAATAATAATAATAATAATAATAATAATAATTCCTGATCTTTCTTAAATCTCTCAGATATAGGACAGACACTTCAAAACATACTTTCTTTTGATTAATTTTTTGACTATCTGTGTTTCCATGTATGACTGTGTTATTCAATGCGTTTGTTTCTATGGGCTAATAGCAGCAAGGCCATATTCAATGTTTCATCAAATAATACATTTTTTGTTTTATACCTACAGGGGTCCTGAAATTCTAAATCAAATAGCTAAATGATCCACGGCATGACCATCTTAAAACAACTCCATATGTTAGCTTAGTAGAACCCCTTAGTAGAAGTGACAAATCCAAACTGCCCACTTCGTGCAAATCCTTGTGAATGCGGTGTGTTTTCCTATGATATGACATACTAACTTTTTTCAGCCTACGTTTCGTTATTGGGCTGGGTTTTATTTGAAGGTTACCACCCACCAGCATGGCCTTGTTTATTAATCATAAACAGTTTGTGAGGGAAAAAGATAGCCTTGAATTGTACACAGCATCTCCTCTCACTCTATCTTGGTTCGTGCAGGTGACTGTGACCTCCTCCTCAGACCAATTGGCAGTACGCCCAGAACATTGCTCTGGGAACCATAAGGAGTATCTCAGTTTCAAGGTCCCAGCTTTGAGAGAAGCAGCATTCAGTCACGTGCTGGAACCAACGTTAATAATGAATAATGAATGATGTAAATCATGCTTACATGACTTGTTTGTGTCGCAGTATATAAGGACTGAAAGGGAACGCCCTTTTCAGAGTTTTCATCAAGCTTGTATTGTTTGTGAACCTCTCCGGCCGTGATAACAAAGATGGATTCATTTACATTGAGTTTGAGTCCTTAGAGGTGAATTTCCACGACAAGCTGTTTTGGCATCTTCCATAAATTGTGGCTGCGAATCCGCCATAGAAAGAGTTATACACTCTATTTAATCAATTTTGAATTCAGGTTGTAACACAGCAACATGTGGAATAAGTCAAGGGTTATGAATACTTTCTGAAGGCCCTGTATATCATTATGCAACACCATGGGTAACCTCTGGTCATCGTCTTTCAGCTCGAAAAAGTGGATTTCTACTGGTGTGGGCGTTTAAATACATGTAATTTTACCTTGAAACATTTAATTGAAATACTGTAGAATTCCATTCATTCCTATGGAGGACTGCTCCTTCTGGGGGGGGGTGCCAATATGGCCGACCGGTGGCTTCTAAACTTCTCACTGGCCAGTACATAGCAACAGCAATCTAGGGTTTGTGTACATCACTGGTTATAACTAACCGGATTCAGCTTATCAACCAGCGAATTATTAGAAAACAGGTGCGCGGCTAGATTAGGGTTGGACTGAAAACCTACAGGACGGTTGCTCTCCAGCAGAGCCCTGATCTGGCTACTGTTCCCACACATAGCCAAGTGATGAGATAACATGTCATCGTAATGCTAGAATCAGTGTAAATGGTGTAGTGTCATGTGGTCCCATACCTGCGCAGGTGGTTGAGCACGGTCATGTTAGCATACATATAGTACAGGTAGTATGCGTAAGGAGGGTTGTCTTCTTCTGTCCAGTCGACTGGCAGAGGACTCTCCATGTTGAAGCAGTGATGCTCCGGTTTAGACTCATCGTCCACACTGTCGAAGCCCACCACCTGAACACACACACACACACACACACACATACAGACACACACGCAGACATCCACACACCATCGTCATCATCGTCGTCATGGCCATCATCGTGGTTCTTTGTGGCTCAGTCGGTAGAGCTTGCAACATTAGGATTGTGGGATTGATTTCCGCTGGGGGTTGAAAAATGTATCCATGCACTACATCGTTAAATATCTGAACCACTAAACCTTGTTGTTTACTTACATGTTGTAGGAAGAGGTGCAGCTCACGGTGTCTGGCGGGGTCGACGGTGACCTCAAACAGAGGCATGAAGATGTTCTCCAGCAGCTCCTGGAAGTTACCCAGCTGCTTCTTGGTGTGGTACACATCACTGTGGAGAGAGAGAGACAAAAGTCTCACAAAGTGAGATGCTGATGTAGGATCAGTTTGACCTTTTGAGATCATAATGAATAAGGTTGTATGGACGGGGGGGGGGGGGGGGGGGACGACGACCGGATCCTAGGGGGGGGGGGGGGGGGGGGGGGACGACCGGATCCTAGGGGGGGGGGGACCGGATCCTAGATCAGCACTCCTACTCTGAGATACTTTTTGAATACTGACCCTGGTCACTTTTATCTGACATGACCATGGCTATGTGAAAGGGCTTTGAATCCGTCAAGGGAAGTAGGGCAAAACCAAACAAGACAGAGTCCTCCTAGAATAGAGGTTAGTTGTACTCACAAGACAGAGTCCTCCTTGAATAGAGGTTAGTTGTACTCACAAGACAGAGTCCTCCTTGAATAGAGGTTAGTTGTACTCACAAGACAGAGTCCTCCTTGCACTCACTAATAGAGGTTAGTTGTACTCACAAGACAGAGTCCTCCTAGAATAGAGGTTAGTTGTACTCACAAGAGTCGTGGGACCTGCACCAGCCAGCGTACGTTGTTAGAGTAGACTTGGTGTTTGACGGCCCACTGGGCCAGCTTGTCCCACTCGTCCCTGCAGCGGCCGTAGATGGACAGACGCAGCTCCACGTTCTGGTATTTACTCTCCTCCAGATCAGCCATCACCTCCTGAGGAGCAGAGACACACACCCGTCAGCAGGGGGCGCCAAGCACTACACGACTTTTACTAGAATACAGTACAACACTCAGCTGTATAGACAACTGCTGGAACAAGGATTTAGAATCTAAATACTTGTCCTGATTGGATGAAGGTACTGTTTCAGAGGCAGCAGCAGGGTGTCCAAATTATCTCTACATAGCTCTCTGTCATCTCTGTCAGAGCGCCCTTTCAGAACGAGTCCTAGCTGAAGAGTAGGGTCTTTACTATTATTGACGATGCACTCATTCAGAAGGCACCTTGATGATGTGTCCAAAGTATTTCCCCTCTACATGGTTGTCTGTTTTGATGAAGATCTCTCTCAGGATGGACTCCCCGATGGGGTTGTATTTGGCGTTGAACTTGTCAAAGCGATGGAAAGTGTTGCGGTCCTGTGAGGAGAAAGGAGACGGTGAGACTCGATCAATGTCAAGATGTCAAGTCAGCTAGTCGTCTTGTCTTCAAAGTGCAGTAATGATCAGCTAGTTCAGTGAAAAAGCTCTCAGAAGTAGAACGACTGTTCATCCATTATTTTCTCAAAATGAACCACTCTCAAATTCATAGACAGAGTTATGAATACAAGGACTGATCATCCATGATATCAAAATTAAGGTTTTAACCATGTTTGTTTTACATTTTATTCATTTAGCGGACACTCTTATCCAGAGCGACTTACAGTTAGTGAGTGCATAAATTTTTTTTCTTCTCCATACTGGCCCCCCATGGGAATCGAACCCACAACCCTGGCGTTGCAAACGCCATGCTCTACCAACTGAGCTACACGGGACTTTACTTTGTTTACAAACATTAGACTAAAACAAGCTTCTGTTTTGGGTTCTGATGGAGGATGACAGTTGAACTAAGCTCACGAGGCATTTGTAAATAATATTTCAAGAATCAATAGGTTCACATCATTCATTTATAAGCCCAAGAATGGATGTAGCAACTGCTGATTGCCCTTTTAATATAGTAACTGAAAACTAAATATTGTACAAACAGCAAGGATGGAAGAGATGTAGCTACTTAAGACCTCTGTCTCCTCCTTGTCCATTCGCGCTCCCTCCCCAGCCATACTTTAAGTATGTCTGAGCACCTCCGGGATGCATGATACCTACTAATGGTGTAGTTTATAATATATACAGTGCATTCAGAAAGTATTCAGACCCCTTGACTTTTTCCATATTTTGTTACGTTACAGCCTAATTCTCAAATGGATTAAATTAAATGTTTTCCTCATCAATCTACACACAATACCGCATAATGACAAAGCGAAAACAGGTTTTTATAAATGTTTGCTAATTTATAAAAAATTTAAAACAGAAATATCTTATATACATAAGTATTCAGACCCTTTGCTATGAGACTCGAAATTGAGCTCAAGTGCATCCTGTTTTCATTGATCATCATTGAGATGTTTCTACAACTTGATTGGAGTCCACCTGTGGTCAATTCAATTGATTGGACATGATTTGTAAAGGCACACATCTGTCTATATAAGGTCCCACAGTTGACAGTGCACGTCAGCACAAAAACCAAGCCATGGAATTGTCTGTAGAGCTCCGAGACAGGATTGTGTCGAGGCACAGATCTGGGGAAGGGTACCAAAACATTTCTGCAACATTGAAGGTCCCCAAGAACACAGTGGCCTCCATCGTTCTTAAATGGAAGAAAATTGCAACCACCAAGACTCTTCCTAGAGCTGGCCGCCCGGCCAAACTGAGCAATCGGGGGAGAAGGGCCTTGGTCAGGGAGGTGACCAAGAACCTGATGGTCACCCTGACAGAGCTCCAGAGTTCCTCTGTGGAGATGGGAGAACCTTCCAGAATGACAACCATCTCTGCAGCACTCCACCAATCAGGCCTTTATGGTAGAGTGGCCAGACGGATGCCACTCCTCAGTAAAAGGCACATGACAGCCCGCTTGGAGTTTACCAAAAGGCACCTAAAGGACTCTCAGACCATGAGAAACAAGATTCTCTGGTCTGATGAAACCAAGATTGAACTCTTTGGCCTGAATGCCAAGCGTCACGTCTGGAGGAAACCTGGCACCATCCCTATGGTGAAGCATTGTGGTGGCAGCATCATGCTGTGGGGATATTTTTCAGCGGCAGGGACTGGGAGACTAGTCAGGATCGAGGGAAAGATGAACGGCGCAAAGTACAGAGAGATCCTTGATGAAAACCTTCTCCAGAGCACTCGGGACCTCAGACTGGGGCGTATGTTCACCTTCCAACAGGACAATGACCCTAAGCACACAGCCAAGACAACGCAGGAGTGGCTTCGGGACAAGTCTCTGAATGTCCTTGAGTGGCCCAGCCAGAGCCCGGACTTGAACCCGATCAAACATCTCTGGAGAGGCCTGAAAATAGCTGTGCAGCGACGCTCCCCATCCAACCTGACAGAGCTTGAGAGGATCTGCAGAGAGGAATGGGAGAAACTCCCCAAATACAGGTGTGCCAAGCTTGTAGCGTCATACCCAAGAAGACTCGAGGCTGTAATCGCTGCCAAAGGTGCTTCAACAAAGTACTGAGTAAAGGGTCTGAATACTTATGTAAATGTCATATTTCAGTTTTTTTTAAAACATTTCTAAAAACCTGTTTTTGCTTTGTCTTAATGGGGTATTGTGTGTTGATTGATGAGGGAAAAAAAACGATTTAATCCATTTTAGAATAAGGCTGTAACTTAACAAATGTGGAAAAAGTCAAGGGGTCTGAATACTTTCCAAATGCACTGTATATGAATGATACCTACTACTAGTCTAGTTAATAAAATATATATATATGTATGATACCTACTAATGGTGTAGTTTATAAAATATATGTATGATACCTACTACTAGTCTAGTTTATAATATATATGTATGATACCTACTAATATTCTAATTACTTTAGATAGAAACAAAATTAGGGAGGTTGGTCGGGGAGGATCGGTTGGTCGGGGAGGATCGGTTGGTCGGGGAGGATCGGTTGGTCGGGGAGGATCGGTTGGTCGGGGAGGATCGGTTGGCGTAATCCACGATAGTCTAGCAACCAAAGGTTGCGTGTTGGAGTCATGTCCGGGACAACTGCAGCATTTTTCACTACCCTTCCCCTACGCAGCATTTTTAACTAACCCTTCCCCTAACCCTTATTTTAAACTTAACCCAATTCACCTAACCTGCTACGTAAATTAACCTAACCTTTGTTGTTAGTTCCCCTAACCGCCAACGTACATTTCCCCGTAATTCTCCTTTGTCGTCACAGTGCAACTAGCAACCTGGTCTCAGAGAAAGATGTATAATACTATATGTCCTCCAAGATGTATGAAAAGTCACATCATCGAATTTGTATGCAATTGTACGACCGGGTATGATACTATAAGTCCTATAATATGTAAGACACTGTATGACCGTTATTCCATTCATAATGTAACCTAACGTAACGTTATATACCACACTAAATGGAGAGTCACAGATTGACATACAGAATAATATGAATTGCCCTGAGACCATGTTGCTGTCACCCACCACCACTCACAGCGTGCATGTCCAGTGTGTCCACACTCAGGTCGAAGGCTGTGAGGTTCATGGTTTCGAACACCTCCATGAGCGTCTGTCCCTTGTCTCTCTCCACATGGACTATCTCCCCTGGATACTTCTTCATGGCCCTCTTGATGAACCTCAGCAGGTGTTTCTGGTTCATACAGGACGAGGCGTGGATGTGGGTGTCCACCTGGAATCACAGACATAGAAGAAGATGGATTAGGGCACTTTATCATGACGCAACCGATACAACCAGAGGATGGGCCCCCTGCTCTGAGGAGAGGGGTTCCATTCAAGGTTTCGTCCTTCCTGCTCTGAGGAGAGTGGTTCCATTTAAGGATTCTTCCTTCCTGCTCTGAGGAGAGTGGTTCCATTCAAGGTTTCTTCCTTCCTGCTCTGAGGAGAGTGGTTCCATTCAAGGTTTCTGTTTTCCTGCTCTCATTAATATTCCCCAGGAGCATACAGTACCATCAGAGGCAGACCTAAACTCAGAGACTAACCTAAACTCAGAGACTAATGTAACCTCAGAGACTAACCTAACCTCAGAGACTAACCTAACTCAGAGACTAACGTAACCTCAGAGACTAACGTAACCTCAGAGACTAACCTAACCTCAGAGACTAACAGAACCTCAGAGACTAACAGAACCTCAGAGACTAACATAACCTCAGAGACTAACAGAACCTCAGAGACTAACGTAACCTCAGAGACTAACAGAACCTCAGAGACTAACGTAACCTCAGAGACTAACGTAACCTCAGAGACTAACCTAACCTCAGAGACTAACAGAACCTCAGAGACTAACGTAACCTTCGAGACTAACCTAACCTCAGAGACTAACGTGACCTCAGAGACTAACCTAACCTCAGAGACTAACCTAATCTCAGAGACTAACGTAACCTCAGAGACTAACGTGACCTCAGAGACTAACCTAAACTCAGAGACTAACCTAACCTCTGCAATAATGCTAAATTAATCTTGTTCCCAGCCGGTGATAGCAATTGAGCCTGGGGACGAGGTTAAACCACATGTCAGTGTTTCAGGGTTAGGGTTAAGAGGGAATTACCTTGTGTACGTTGGAGAAGTCTCTTTGAGGGACTTACCTTGCGTATGTTGCAGACTTCTCGGTGTGACAGGGTTAGTGTTAGGTTCAGGGTTAGGGTTAGGAGGGACTTACCTTGCGTATGTTGTAGAAGTCTCTATGAGGGACTTTCTTCTGAGCTGCCAGCTCCTTCATCTCATTCAGCAGGATGTGCATCTGGAACTTAGAACTCAGGTACTGTAACCGACGGTAACAGAATGACTTCCTGTGGTAGTGAGTTAGCACAGACATTGTGTCAAATAAAATCAAACGTTATGCTTATAAGTCCATAAAAAAATCTCTATACACTTTACAGTGAAACAATACATTACCAATACTTTACAGTTAAACAATACATTACCAATACTTTATAATGAAACAATACATTACCAATACTTTACAATGAAACAATACATTACCAATACTTTACAGTGAAACAATACATGACCAATAGTTTACAGTGAAACAATACATGACCAATACTTTACAATGAAACAATACATGACCGATACTTTACAGTGAAACAATACATTAACAATACTTTACAGTGACACATTAAAAGACAAAAACAACAAAGAATAAAAGTGTACAAGAGAACAAAACACAGTATAAAAGACAGGGTCTGTCTGTGTACTCACACAGGTCCGTTGATGATGAGAGCCATCATGACATTCATGTCAGCGATGTACTCCTGTAGGTCTGGATAAGGAAGCTCCAACTCTGTGCTCCTGACACCACAATGCATGTTTTAAGGGGACAATATAAGAGGGGTCAATTCCAAGAGTTCAATTCCCAATTCAATATTTATCCCCACAATTTGACAAATTCCAATTCGAATTCAGTTCCCTCAGGTTTTCAGGCTGTCGCTGTTCAGACAGCCTAGCTATACTGGAAATATAGGAATACAGGTTGAAATTATTAAAAACAAATCCTACAGTCAATTCTTTATACTATGTGCATTAAATCCATTAACTGGGAAATACAGTACAGTGCCTTACAAAAGTATTCATCCCCATTTTGGCGTTTTTCCTATTTTGTTGCATTACAACCTGTAAATTAAATTGATTTTTATTTGGATTTCATGTAATGGACATACACAAAATAGTCCAAATTGGTGAAGTGTAATGAAAAAAATAACTTGTTTCAGAAAATTATAAAAAATAAATAACGGAAAAGTGGTGCGTGCATATGTATTCACCCCCTTTGCTATGAAGCCCCTAAATAATATCTGGTGCAATAGTTATGCACGCTCAAGTTCTGTTTTTTTTTTGTCTTATTTCTTGTTTGTTTCACAATAAAAATATTTTGCATCTTCAAAGTGGTAGGCATGTTGTGTAAATCAAATGATACAAACCCCCAAAAAAATTCCAGGTTGTAAGGCAACAAAATATGAAAAATGGCAAAGGGGGTGAATACTTTCGCAAGCCACTGTATATTCCAATTCAATTAAATTCAGTTCAATTCCAAAGATTAAATATGCTTACAATTCCAATTCAAAAAGTCCAAAAAATCTAATTCCAATTCAATAACTTGAAGATAAAAAATAAAAAAAACAACATTTAATTCAATGTAAATTCTCCACTTCATGAGTGAATTCAAGAATTGAATTGGAATTTCAAATTGAATTGGAATTGGCCCCAACCAAGAATCATAAAATTCATTACACCTGCAGGTTTGAAGTAGAGTGTTACCAAAGTCATTTATGTGAGAGAAAGATTTAACGGAAGAAACCAATGATCTCACTTCTCCATGGTGTCCTTCTTAGTGTAGATATGGACGACACCGTTTACCATGTTGCAGCCGTAGCCTATGTCAGGAGGCATACAGGAAGTGTCTTGGTTCTCATAGGGGTGAGTGGCGGAGACAGGAGGGTGGACCGTCTGGTCTAGGTCTAGAATAGAGTAGAAAAAATATATACTGAACACTTTACATGTTGCGTTTATATTTTTTGTTCAGTATATCGTAGAATTAAAGTTATTAGTCCATCAGACACAGAACTTCTTCTTGCTCTGTCCTTAACCCCTGCAGATGGTTGGAATGGGCCAAGCATGCTGCCAGCGCCATACCGATGTTCACACTGCATTTCAAATGGTGATAATTCTCCCAGTCTGTACACTGCGTGGCGGTCTGTGCTGCTAGGTTGTAGAGGGGGATAGCAGATGGAGTGTGAAAATTACTTCTATTGATGATTATGAAACTGTTAGTTCTGAAGAGGCATAATGGTTGGCTGAGAGGCATTTGAAGTTGTGCTAACACCAGAATAACCTTTGACAGCGTGTGGTTTCAAATGTTGAATTTCAATGATGAAAATACTACCAGTTTGCACACGGAGTGACAGTCTGTGCTAGGTGTTTGTGTGCATGCGTGCGTGTCTGTTTGTCTGTCTTTCTCTGTGTGTCTTCTTTACCTGCAGTAACAGAGGTCTCCGGGATCTCCTCGTAGATGCCCATATCTACAGGTCTGTCACTGAGCTCCTCCAGGTAGCTGGCTGTGGTCCGACAGAAACTCTGCATGGACAGGCCAATGTACTTCTCCCTGATGAACAAGGCCTTCACCACACACTTCGCAGCATCTAGCAGGTCTGTGAAGGGAACCTGGAGGGAGGGGGCAGGTTAGCCATCGGACCTTAGAAGAAAAATAATACTTGTACATTGTAATTTCTCAATCATATTTTTCCTTTTTAACCATGAGCTGTGCCCCTGGAACAGTTTTTAAGGGTTAGCTAAGTGCCTTGCTCAAAGGCCCAACAGCAGGATATGGCATGGAGAGTTTTCTTGGGGATATTTCTGTGACCTACCCCACATTTCTCCTCTCCAGAGATGGAGACCCGCTGGTACTCCTTCTCTCCTTCTCGGTCTTTCTCCTTGGGGTACAGGTCCATGAATGCCTGGCTCTGCTCCTTCAGGTATCTAACACAAGACGATAGGCCAGGGGTCAACTGTTACCCTACGAGGTCTGGAGCCCGCTGGTTTTCTGTTCTACCTCATAATTAATTGCACCCACCTGGTGTCCCAGGTCTAAATCCATCCCTGATTAGAGGGTTAGAATGAAAAAAGCAGTGGAACTGGCTTCGAGGTCCAGAGTTGAATATGAAGGTGATAGGGGAAGAGAAACAGTTTATAGACAAGACTGTGTTTGCCCGCTGAGCTAAAGCCTAGATTGCTAAACTATATGAGAGAAACTATATGTGACCGACTGGGATTCAAACCCAGGGTATTCTACATGCCACAAGACTGTGTTAGCCTGCTGAGCAAAAGCCAATGCATTAGCTAGCGGAGCTAACGCGAGTCTCCTTACTGTACTCACTCTAGATCAGTAGCGCTGTCAGTCTTCATGAACTCCTGTTTGGCTCGGAGAAGGATATCTGGCTCAAACCTGAAGAACATCAATAAAAACGTATTTAGAGACTTCAACATGATCCCATTGGGATTCATGAGAAATTGTTGCTGACTATTCATTCTCTCTTTTCTCCCTCTCCCCTCTCTCTTTCCCTCTCCATCCTCCGCCCTTCTTCCTCTCTCCTCTCCTTTTCCCTCTCCATCCTCCGCCTTCTCCTCCCTCCTCTCCTCTCCGCCCTCTCCCTCTTCCTCCTCCTCCCTCTTTCCCTCTCCATCCTCCGCCCTTCTCCCCCTCTCCTCTCTCCCTTTTCCATCCTCCGCCCTTCTCCCTCTCTCCTCTCCTTTTCCCTCTCCATCCTCCGCCCTTCTCCCTCTCCCTCTTCCTCTCCCTCTCCCTCTCTCCTCCTCCGCCCTTCTCCCTCTCTCCTCTCCCTTTCCCTCTCCATCCTCCGCCCTTCTCCCTCTCTCCTCTCCCCTCTCCCTCTCTCCCTCTCCTCTCCTCCTCCCCTTCTCCCCTCTCTCCTCTCCTTCCCTCCCATCCTCCCCCTTCTCCCCTCTCTCCTCTCCCCTCTCCCTCTCTCCTCCCCCTTCCCCTTCATCCTCTTTCCTCCCCTCCTTCCCTCCCTCTCTTTCCTCCTCCTCCCGCTGTCTCCCTGTCCTTCTGGAACCTGGGCTGAGCTTCCTCTGCTAGTCGAGTCGCTCCTCCGGCCCCAGCGTTCTGTTTGGACTTGCTTGGAATCAAGTGGGTAATTCTTGCACTCATCTGAGAGACACCTACAACGTGCCACTTAGCACCCCTGAGAAGCGAGCCTTGCTTGTCGTGCATGATCCAGTATGGTTAATGAGATATCCTTTTCATCCACCATCCGGATCTCCTTGGAGACTTGCGTCCATGGAAGTGCAGTAGGTCATGTTTGTTCACGCCACAGGGATCCTGGAAAGAATGCGGGAAGGATCAGGAGGTGGGCGGACGGGGCATAGAGAGAGAGAGAAGGAAGGAAAGGCAGAGAGAGAGAGAGGAGGAGAGAGAGAGAGGAGAGAGATGAGAGAGAGGAAGGAGAGAAGGAGAGAGAGAGATAGGAAGAGGAAGAGGAGAGAGAGAGGAAGAGGAGAAGGAGAGGAGAGAGAGAGCGATAAAGAGAGAGAGGTAGAGAGAGAGAAAGGAGATAGTGGGAGACATAGAGGGAGAGAGAGTGTTATGCCGATCTGCACCGTGCCAAATCAGATGTTTCCAAGATCAGTTTTTCTTTCCCCTTTCTACTAAGCTTAGCCTACTCCACAGTTCACAAACCAGAAGGCACAGAAGGCACAGACGCTTGTTATTCTCAGCCTGACGACGGTGAAGACAATATACAGAGCAGAGGAGAAACAGTAACCCAGCCCAGTGCTGGAGGTCTGAGCTCAGCTGCTGTTTCTGCCTCCAGACACAATGGACCATTCAGGTGGAGACTAGAACCCATCAACAACACACTGGCCTTGTTGCCAGCACAGGATTCAATGTCTCCATGTTGGATTCAATGTCTCCATGTTGATGTGAGTCATTAAGCAAATGCAGTTGCAAGAAAAACAATAACATGCTAACTACAGTTACAAGACCTGGGCCAAGGGTCAAGGGTCAAGGGGCTCATTGAACAATACAAGCTAGGATGCAAAGAGATCAGATGCAGGAACATGTGAATACAAAATGGTTGAAAACAGTTCAGACATCCAGAAAGCCAGACAGCCAGACAGCCAGACAGCCAGACAGCCAGACAGCCAGACAGCCAGACATCCAGAAAGCCAGACAGCCAGACAGCCAGACAGCCAGACAGCCAGACAGCCAGACATCCAGAAAGCCAGACAGACAGACAGCCAGACAGCCAGACAGCCAGACAGCCAGACAGTCAGACAGCCAGACAGCCATACAGCCAGACA